CTGGGATAGCCCTCAACTGGGGCAGCCGCTGATACTGGAAAAGCAGGTAAGATGCGAGGAGCTGTGTGGAACCTTCCCTGGAGCTTCCCCTGCTTTGCCTGGGAGCTGTATTTATGCTCAGATCCTTGGTCCTTGCCTTTTAAGTAAACCTGTGCCCAACCTTGTGTCTGGCTGATCCTCACCTTGCCTTGGTGACTTGACTTCTTGTGTTCGCCTTAAAGCTGCCTCATCACTGCAGGCTGGTGTGGGCATCACTGGGCACAGCCATGGACCTTTCTGCTCTTGCTCATACACCACTGGGCTGCGTCCTGTCAGTGAGGGCATCCTCCTGCCTGTTTGCTGTCACCGTAGCCCCTTCCCTGGAGGAACATCCCACTCCTGCCCCTCACTAACAATTATTCCTGCTTTATAGGATGAACAGAAGATAATCATTGAAGTGTAGGCACATGGTGGCTGCAGCAGCTTTTACTTTTCCTTGCCAGCCGAAACCCCACTCCCCTCCCGGTGCTCTGGGGATCTATTCAGAACTACACAGGACATGTCGTGGCCCACACTGCATTTGCATGTGAAGGTTTCGGAAAGAAATGAGCTCTTCTTCCACATACAGCAGCTGGGAAGCAGTTACTGCCCTTTTCTCTGCAATGGGCACTTTCACTGTTGTGTTTTCTTCTCACTGGTATCACACCGAGGACACTGCCAGTGTCATTTTCTGCTGATGGACAGGAACTCGCTAAGCTTCAATGGCCCAACATGGGTCTGAGCTCAGAGGCTGGAGGGGAATTGGATTTCCTGGGTGAGTCCTTGCTGACACCTGACCTAAGGTACTGTGTTCTAACTGAGTTTATCCCCATGAATTCAAGCTTGCAGGGACAGCAACAGCAAAGACACAGAAGGAGTATCCTCTGTTCACACTCTGCAGGGAGTGTTCCCACCCTGAACTCATCCTTCCTCTGTGTTCCAAACATGCAGCCAGCACGAGCTCTGGGGGGCATCCGTTCCCCTTGTCGCTCATGAAAGCAGAGGTCTGGGTGAAGGGAGGGGGTTAATCTGTGCCTTCCTCGGGCTTCAAGGAAGAGGTGAGGTGCCTGACCAACCCCCAGTCGTTCTACACACACCAGCAGGACTCAGACAGTCCTAGAGGATGCAGTAGCTGAATGCTCTGCCTCAGGGCAGGAGTCACTCCTGGAGGGAAGGGAGCAGAGCATCTGATCAATGGTCTCACCTCAGTATCCATAAGCTTATGTCATTGGGTGCTTGATCCATTGAAAGGTCCTTCTCAAAAGACTGTAAGCCTGGCCTGAACTTGTTCTGTGTTCATCCTGTCAGCCCTCCCCATGAAGAGATAAATGCTCGGTGCAATAGTTTTGTCTGGTTCATCCTTCACCTGTATTCACTCCTCACTGAGGGGGAAGCTCAGTTCTATTATGTAGCATGTGGATGTGCAGAGAAATCCACATCCAAGGATGTGCTGGCTGTAGCTCTCCCGAAGAACAGTCCCCCCACCCCACTGTGTCTTCCCTCACAGCTATCTCAGACCTGAGCGGGACGTCCAAATGTGAGCACTAATCCCTATTTGAGACTATATTCCTGTCCCAGCCTGCTCTCACTATTTCGCATGCTTTGCGTGAACCCCATCTGCCAGAGGAGGCACCCCAAAGCCATCTGGGATGAAGGTGTGGGATGGAGTTCCTCTGATGTTTCCAGTCCTCCCAGGAAGTTAAGAGACACCTTCAGGTATTTGGTTATTTTTAATAGTATAATAGATACCAGCAACTGTACAGGGCACAAGAGCCAGAAGGGATGAAACTTCACTGGTGGAAGCTACAGTGGAGTCTACAATCTCTCTGGGGCCCTGTGTCCTCCTCTTCCCACCCTCACTGAGCCCCTCACATTGGCATGTCCTGTAGGTACAGCTGCTCGCTGATGGTCCTGCATGTCCTCTTTCCCCTCCATGGAGATGTCTGCAAGGATAACCTGCTGAATCTGGGGTGGGAAAGATAGATGTCAGAGCTCAGAGCAGTGATGGAACAGGAGGCAGGGGGGAGTTCGTTGGCCCTGCACCACCAGAATGGACTTTTGTGGGTGAGCCCAATTTCAGGGCAAGGGCGAGTAAAACCACACTGTGGCCACGGGTTGATCTGCACCTCCTGCCCCAGCCTGCCTGGCTGCTCCTCCTCCTGCCCCCATAGACACGTCTTTGGATGATACAGGTTTGCCTGATGTCCCCTGCCCATTCCCTGTGCCCAGGAGGGAAAAGGAAGGTGTCTGCTGGGCACATCGATTTCCATCCCCTCCCTTTGGGCAGCTGAGTTATTCCTGCTCCTCTTTCTGGGCAGGGAGAAGGGGTCTGGCTTGGCTCTACCATGTTCAGTTGTCCAAGGCTGTCATTCACCGGCACGTTCTGTTTAGCTTTCATCTGCTTTTTGGCACACTGGAAGAGGTTGAGGGTGGCCATCCTGATGATCCCCAGCTCCAGGGTCTTCTTGGTACTTGTTTTCTGGATGCCAGCCCAGCAAGTCTCCTGAGATGGGAGGAGACATGCAACATGGGGACATGCCCCAGCAAAGATGCTGCTTCAGCACTGGAGACCCTGGCTTGGAGACCCTAACTTCAGCACTCATCTGTTTTGCTAGGAAGAACCTGTCCTTGCCCAGGGCTGCGGTGGTTCAGCTTGGTGTGGTGGAAGCAGACCCAGGAACCACGCAGAACCCTCCCCATGTCTGTGCCAGCTCCTGCAGTCCTCACTGTCAGGTCAGGTCCTTGCTGCCCAGCAGGGCTGGCTGGTACCCTGGGAGCAGCACATCCCTCTGCTGGCCTCCCAGACCGGGTGCTTTCCAGCTTTGCCTGATGGGACCCAGCTCCTGGAGCCTGGAGCCTCCAATAGTGAGTTTGGCTGGGCCCCCTCAGGGCAGTGCAAAGGGAACAGAGGTCAGCAGAGCTGGAGCATTTCTGTGCACTAAGCATTGGCCACACACTGATGTGCCTCATTACAGCCCAGTTTAGCACCAGCCTGGTCACTTCTGGACCGGTGAGGAGGGAGGAGAAGGGATAAGCCCTGGTGGGCAGATGATAAAAATTAACAACATGAGTCATGACCCATGAAGACCACGAGATATGACACACTGAAGCCCAGTGACAGGGATGAAGCTGCATGGAATAGTGAATGGAAACAAGTATGAGCAGGCTGGACAAATCCAACGGGCATGTGGTAGAGGAGGCTGGGGTTTTGTGCAAAGACCTCCACAAAGCCTGGTTTGCTGATCTCTTTTGACCGTGAGTTCAAACAAGGAGTGAAAGATCTTGATGGCTTTGTGAGGAGAGCCTTGTTTTAACATGTGCTGTAACATGCTCCAGACCTGCTCTGTCATTCTTTATCCTACAACCCCTTGGAAGGACGAAATTACACATCTCCTCCAATCACAAAGGCTGCTACTGGGCCTTGCTGTGACCCCATGGCTTAGAGGTGAGCCATCAGCTGGTCTTAACACAGCCATGCCCTGGAGATCCTCCCCTGCCCACCCCACATTTCCTCACCCAGAACTGGACGTCTTCTTTAGCCTGGTCAAAACATTGCTGGAGCTCCACCAGCTCGTTTATGTAGTGCAGGATCTCGGCTTCTTTCTCCTCTGTGTACTGGTCCAGGAACACCCTGGCTTGCTCGGACATTTCCTTGTGTCTCTGTTGCAACTGCTCCAGGTCCTTGTACACACTCAGCAGCGTCTTGTAGCGTGAAACGACTTCTTGGATGTCCTCAAACTGCAGCACAGGGCTCCTGGTGTTAGTGATGCCCCTGCCATCCCCTCATCATGATTGCATGTCTCTTGCTGCTCAGCACCCTGCCCTGACCAGGGACAACATTTCCCCCTGCTGAAAGATCTTCTCTTCTTGGCAAGACTATTGTCCCAGCTGGTTTGTGGACTTGGTCCTGGTCCCTGGATGATGACATCCCACTGTGCCGGTCCCAGAGCTGTCACTGCTGGAAGCAAGGGGAGATCTTGCACCTCTTCCCCAAGGAGCAGTGCAATGACAGAACACAAAGCACAGCTGCAACTGCTGAGCCAGCTGGACACTGGAGGGGGCAGCTGGGACTGCAGGCGTATGAGCAATGCATGGAGTGATGTTCAGGCATCCTGAGAGGGGGCACAGCTTTTGTGATGACTGCCTAGGCTCCCATACCCAGGCAGCTTTTCAATTCTCCCAAACCATCAATGTGACATGAAAGAGACACCAAGGGGTCCCCATTCCCCTCAGCCCTTTGCTTGTCTCCTTTCTAACAGTTTTTCTTTAGTTTTCTTAAGCTTTCACCTCTCTTCTGGTTCTCCTCACCTAACTCTGCTCACCTTGGCTCCCCTTGGTTGCAAGGACCTACATCACATGCCATCTGGGGCCTCTGGGTTTGAACAAGTGTTATGATTTCCCTGGACTTGCTTTATCTCCTCTAGGTTCAACACCCACATAAGGCCCTCCCCGAGGCCATGATGTGTCTCTCTCATGTCCAAACTCACCTGTGAGATCTTCACCACATCCTCCAGGTATTTTTTGAAGATGGAGTACTTCTGCACTTTGCTGTAGAGTTTCTCATGCTTATTTCTCCAGACTTCCAGTTCCCTTTTAGCTCTCAAAAGCTCAAACTCCTTTTGTATCTTCTTCTCTCTCTCTTTGGTTGCTTTCTTCAGAGTTTGGTCTCGCATCTTATCATCTTCCTGGTGATGTTTCCCCCAGCAGCACACACCCAGAGAGGGGAAGGAAGGCATGGGAAGATGGAGCTCGGTCACTCAATAGCACGGGGAGGATGTACCTTCCCAGAGGAGAGGTTAGTCCTGGAGCAGCCACCCCTCTTGCATCGATCCCCCAATGTGGGACAGATCTCTCATTTTCAGACCTGCTGGTGTCTGTCCCTGCAGGACACCTGAGTGTCGACAGTGGGGACAGGCTGAGCCCCTTCTTGGGGGGAGATCACACTGGTACAGGGCAAGGTCCCTCCTGCCCCAGCCCTAGGAGTGCTTCCTGCATGCGTGGTACAAAATCCCGTGCCCTGCTAGTGCTGTTCCTCACAGCTCCAGGCTCCAGGGGGGCTCGGGTGGCCCCAGGCTGTCTCCCAGGGCAGGAGGCGGTGTGCGGTGCTGACCTTTACGATCCTCAGGGATTTCTCCATGTGGGTTTTCACCTCAGCCTCCTGGGCGTGCAGGTCCCGCCACCCACAGACCAGGGCTTTCATCCTCTCCTTGAACTCCTGGCAGCACAGGGCGAGTGTGACTCGGCTGCTGGCACCCGCAGTCAGACCCTGCCCCCTGCTGCCCTCCAACAAACCCTCCCAACCATGCCCCATCACCCTCCCAGCTTTTCACCTCTTTCTTCGCCTCCAGAGCCTTTTGCATCAGTTTGGATTCTTTCTTCTTCTCTTGGAGGTGGGTCAATAGGGACAGGGAGTCCTCCTCTGCCTGTCGCGGTTTCCTGCACAGACGGTTTCCTCGAGGTTACGTGCTGCTCCAGTGCCTCGGCAGGGTGGGGGTTGTTCTGCCCTCACAGTCCTGAGTGGGATGATGGGGCACAGCATCCCAGCCCTCGTTTAGATCCTATCTGGCAGCATGGCACCCCCACCCTCCCCAGCAGGGATCCTGCTGACTGAGCAAGGGGTTGTTACAGGGAGGAACAGGGCTGGGGAAGGGAGCTCCAAGAGGAGACTGGAGTAGTGAAGACAAGGGATGTGAGTTTGCCATGGCAGGGGAAGGAGGGTTGGTGGGGACAGGAGGAGGGATGGGAGAGGGTGGAGGAGCCCCTTCACCTCTGCAAGTGCAGGATGTTCTGCCCATATTCGATGTGGAAATAGTCCAGCAGGTCCTCGTCCTCCATGGTGGCCATTGCTCCAGCCACGGGCAGGGCCAGGTCTCCCCAGCACCGCTCCTCTCCCAGGTCAGAGCTGCCCTGCAAGCCCTGGCAGCGCGTGTGGAGGCAGCTGGGTAGTGGGTGAGCCCCTGCGTGCCTCTGGCCTCTGCCTTGCCCCTGTTGTACCGAGGCCACCAGCTGCTGGTGGCAGTTGCATGGAGTGGCTGCGGGGGGGGGGCTGGTTGCCTGGACACGGCAGCGGGGACTGACCACTGTGTCCAGGGCCTGGGCTCTGGGAAGCTGAACCAAGGTAAAGTCCTTTCCTCTCATTTTCTCTGCTTTTCCCCTGCTACAATTCACCCTCTGTGTCCTGTGGCCTCTGCTCTCTTGCACAGGCGTTGCAGTGCTCCCGACATCCACACCCAGGGCAGGAGCGTGCTCCCTCTCTCCCAAAGCACCAGATGGAAAGACAGTTAAACTGAGGCGCACCCCCAGGGATGTTGATCACTGCCCATTGCTCCCTCTCTGTGTGGGACTGAGCTCTACCATGAGCTAAAAATTAACTGTGCGGTTGGTTGGTTGGTTTTTTCCCCAGAACAAGGTATGTGAACATGGTCCATTGCCCAGTATAAAGAGGTGATATTGATGGGCCAAGTGGAGGAAAACCTACGGATGATGATGACCTTTGGGTCTACTCCTTACACAGGAGATTCCACCCTCTGATGTTTTGCTTCTGTCAATCTCTGATCCCTCACTGGCATTTCCACGAGTTACTGAACCTGAAACACTTTGCAGTAAAGGTTGTGGCTCTCTGGCAGGGAGAATTCTTCCCACCTATCACAGCACTGGCACACATCAGGGGAATCGGTTTTAGGCAAATATCACCCCTTGCTCATTATAAACCAGTAGGAGCTGGGGCAAGTCTGCCCAATCCATCTGACACCCCAAACAGCATGAAGAGGTATGATCCAGGAGGGGACCATTTGTTGTATGAAAGGAGCTTCATTTGAGACAAATGACCCAAGGCAAAGCAGTGACCACACCTGGCTTTCATTGCTGAGGTTCAGATCCGTGAGAAGGGACTTCCCCTGTGTCCATCCCGAGGTCATCATGGGATTGTTCCCATCCCAACAGGTCCGGTGGATTAAACTTGGCCTTCTGGAGCAGATTCTGGACTTTGGCAGGGACAAGCCTTGCCTGGGAGTGGATCTTGTGCCTGCCCATGAGTGAGGGAGCTCAGGTCCTCTCCAGAGAGGCAAAGTCCTGCCCAGCCCTGCACCCCTGGAGCTGCTGGTGCCCCGTGGGAACCCACTGGATGAGCACCCAGGAAGGTCTCAGTGTGTCTCAATGTCCAGTTCTTGCTGCAGAGCTGGGAGCAGGGGCAGAGCCTGTCTGGGGAGCAACTGTCCCCTGCGCTTCTGCACAAGCAGAGCTGGGATCAGTCCTCTGCCCGGCTGGAGGGAAGCTGAGCAGGGTGGGATCAGCCCCTGCATTCACAGCTGGGTGGAAGTGCTTGCAGATAGCTTGCATTAATGTTCCTCACCACCATCTCATCCTCACACCCAGGTTTTATCTCTGACAAATTCTTCCCTCCCTTATACACTATGCATTTAAAAAGATTTTCTTCTTACTACTCTTTCCATAGCAACTGCATCATCTTGCCATGGATAAATTACCTCTGACTTGACATCTCTTAGTAGAATTTAGAAAATGCCATTTCTGAGTCACAGCTCCCCAGAATAACCCTTTTCTGTTCACTCCTTGGTACATCCCCCACCTTTCTACTCTTTGAAGGAAACTGCTTTATTTATGTTTTCCTTTCAAATATCCTCTGCTCTTGAAGCTCCTGCAGTTGAAGGCTGATGGGAAGCTGACACTCACTTACCCTCCTGCCCTTCAGAAGCTCCCAGCACAGTACATAACACCTCCTTGGTGATAGCTGATCCCTCTAAATCACAGAATCCCAGACTGGTTTGTGTAGAAGGAGAACTTAAAGCTCCTCCAGCTCCAACCCCTACCACGGGCAGGGACACCTTCCACTAGAGCAGGTTGCTCCAAGCCCCTGTGTCCAACCTGGCCTTGAACACTGCCAGGGATGGGGCAGCCACAGCTTCTCTGGGTCCCCTGTGCCAGCGCCTCAGCACCCTCACAAGGAAGTTTCTGTCTTAATGTCAAATCACACTGGGCTCTGTAGGGACGTGATTCTGAATGGCCGAATCTCTTCCTAGCATTTTCCCCAGTTCTTAGGTCCCCAAGGGACAAGCTTAATGGAGAAGATGAGTTCTACTCTGGGAGAACATGATGCTGTATCTTGGTGGGCACGGGGAGCATGGGAATGTTCAAACACCGTGTCTTCATTGGGTGTCCAGGGCTTTTTGGAGTTGGGAAGCAGTTCTCATGTGGAACCGGGGCAGTCTGGAGCCGAGGGAAAGCCGCTGCCCTGCTTCAGGAGTCTGTCTGACCTGAAACACCTCCCGCTTTGCCCGAGTTCTCTCTGGGACAGTGCGGCCACAGCCCAGGAGAGGGAGCACTTAGTGTACAAGTGTGCGGTCCCGGCTGCGCCTCAGCGCTGCCCAGCTTCCCTGCCCCGCCGTGACTCAAGGAAACCCTTTTGGTACTGGGCCAGGGTCTGGCCTTCCCCTGCGTACATCAGGCTCCACTATCAGGGCAGAAGCTTTGCAGGGAGAACAGCAGCCTGGATATTTGGGTGAATGAGAGAAAAAGGGAATGCTCTTTCTGATCAGAGAAGGTCAATTCAACACAGGTACCCAGAGAGGTTTCCATTTTAAGACCTCATTTGTTGAGCAAACCTTTATAGCAAGTGTAAGAAATCAAAAAGGACAGATTACACTTTCATGCACATAGAAGCAAACTGTGACTCAGTGTCCAGATATCCCAGTGGCAGCAGCAATCACTGGGCCGTGTTAAAATGGGCTCATTCATTTGCTGTGCGATGAGGAGGATGCAACAGCAGGAGGACGAGGTGTGGGTCTGCTTCCAGCCTTCAAATGTTGCCTGTTCCCCAGCTCTGAGAGCTGCTCCCCAGGCCCACACATCTGCACACAGAGCAAACTGTGACTCAGTGTCCAGATATCCCAGTGGCAGCAGCAATCACTGGGCCGTGTTAAAATGGGCTCATTCATTTGCTGTGCGATGAGGAGGATGCAACAGCAGGAGGACGAGGTGTGGGTCTGCTTCCAGCCTTCAAATGTTGCCTGTTCCCCAGCTCTGAGAGCTGCTCCCCAGGCCCACACATCTGCACACAGAAGCAAAGCAGCAGCAGATAATTCTTTTTCTCAGGAACAGTTTTCTGATCTTTTTGACAGTCTAAACTGGTCAAAACATGCATTTCCAGCAGACAGCAGTGAAGGCTCACAGCTCTGCCCCAAGGCAGCTGAACTACCCCTTCCCAAGGGCTTCAGGGCAGCAAACTGCCCTTACCTTCTTCAGTTGAAGTTGGGATCTGGATTTTGTCTCCTAACAGCATATTTAAGGATCATCATCCAGCTTCATGGCAGATGTCTTGCATGGAGACAGCTCCATGGGTCAGGCCATCCCAAACTCCCATTGGAGCTGTTGAGAGGGATAAGCACTCCCAGGGCATGACATAACTTCTGAAAGCTCCTGCTTCTCTCCATGGACTATCCAGGGCACCTGCCATGACCAGCTCACATAGACACATCTAATTTGGCCACCTCGAGCATCCTTGCCAGGACCTGCACCCCCTCCCATGGCAATCCGACTGTGGGGCTGAGGACATGGCAAAAGCCCAGGCGGTCAGTTTGTGCATCAATCACAGCAAGGCATTTGCTGTACACACCGCCCTAGAGTGGACTCCGTCCTGGTGGGGTTTTAGGAATAGCTCTGGCATGGCTCTGGACTTTGATCTGACAGGGACACCCAGAGGTGGTATAAACCCAAAACCATCTGAATTCATTTTTTGTGGTGCAAATGATCTCAAATCCAGAAGCATCAAATGAAGAGTTGTTTCCCAGGGAAGCTCTGCCAGGCACAGCCTGCCCGTGGCAGCACCAGGAGGGCACAGGAGGCATCAAGGTGAACAAGTGCCTCCTTTTACATCTCAGATTTAACTGTTTTTTTGCTGGGTGAGGCACGTGCTGGGGTGAGGCACATGCTGGGATGTGGTCGGAAGCTGCTCTCACACTGTCCAGCCTTTGGACAGAGGTGGTGACCTGATCCCCAAGGTGTGTCTGGGCAGTGTCGCAGACCAGAGACCCCCCTCCAGCACTCAGCTGCTCTGCAGCACACCAGAGCTCTTTGGAGACAATGAGCTTTCTGCACTCACACCAGTTGAAGCTGCTTCATCTGCCAAAGGCTGCTGGCAAGGTCTTGCCCTCCTTTTCTTCCCTGTCAAAGGTCTGATTCCAGCTCCACAGGAGCCCAAACGCACAGCAGGATAATTGCAAAGCTGGAGGTCTTCAGATTTCTTGGGCTGGATTCAGCTCTCCGGTAACCAAGAGGAGCTCAAAGCCCTTTTCCAAGCACTCAGTGCTGGGCTAGTCCCTCAGGATCGGTGTTGGGACCTGTCTTGTTCAATATCTTTGTTGGTGACATGGACAGTGGGTTTGATGCACCCTCAGCAAGTTTGCCAATGACACCAAGCTGTGTGGCTCGGTTGATACGCTGGAGGGAAGGGATGGGATCCAGAGGGACCTGGACACGCTTGTGAGGTGGCCAATGCCGACCTTATGAAGTTTAACCAAGTGCAATCCGCCAGTGCAGTTGGGTCAGGGCAACCCCAGGCACAGCTGCAG